CCAAGATCATTAGAATGAATGCATAATACATCATTTGTAGTTGTGCTGATGATGTTACTGCAATAAGGTTGATTCAATGTGTTTCTAATAGGAAATGAGATGATATGTATCATACATCTTACACAAAAGGGATAATATGATGCATATAAAAATATGCATCCTATTCATTACACGAATGAAACAAACTTACATAAGGGATATTTCTGCATAAAAGAAGTATTAAATCCTTTATTTTTAATTACTTTTTCTTTATTCTGCACATAATTAAAATGATTTAACGTCACAATACAGAATAACATCAATTATAAAAACTAAACTGTCAACAACATCGTCGACTTGCTCCGTTCTCTTTTATATTATTATAATTTTCTCTNACTTGAAACCTCTTTATTCTCTAGGACCCCCAAGGAAAATATAGACTTCCATGAAATCTGAATATCCCTCTTCCCCCCCGATTCGATCTTCTCGACAATTCGTGATAGACATAACAATGGTAATCCAAAATAACATATGTAATATGGTCGGAACTGTTCCTAGTAGTTCCGAGTTCTATGTAATATGGTCGGAACTGTTCCTAGTAGTTCCGAGTTCGAAACGGTTCCGACCCGAAACTATCTATCTCTACTTTGTTCGCAAACATGTCACACGATTTTTCTGATAAAATAATTGAACAGAAAAGCAAAACTTTTTTCTCAATTACCTATAAAGCAACAACTTATTTTTGCATTTTGTTGATACTTTTATTTAGACACCACAGCAATAACTTGTCGCCGTTTGAAATCGGTCGGGAATGGTTAATAATAATATATTATTGAAAAAGTTTTTTTACCCCAATGGAAAACCTTCCTCATTTTATGATGAGTGATCACCAAATTGGGTATCATTATACATGGGTAACATTATACATGGGTGTGAATGGCCACAATCCAACTGCACATCAGGAGCGTTATGAAAGAGTACACATAATCAGGAGAAACAGCCGCTTGTAAAATAGTTATGGGCCTGTAAAGATTTGCCAACTTTTATTTGTGAAAGAATGTAGTAATTTGTTGTCAAAACCAAATAGCTTATGATGTCATCAAATTCTACTTCAGGCCACAACTCTTGACCTATAACGAAGATGCTGGATTCGGCAGTGGTGTAGCGAACATAACTGGCGCCCGGGACACGACACTTTATTGGCGCACCCCTCCCCCTCCAGAAACACATATAGTTTGTCATGGAGACCATTTGGGCGCACCTCTGCGAGTTGCGCCCGGTACATGATACACTCCCTTTAACCCCCTTGCTACGCCACTGGGATTCGGATTGATCGATACCTTGACGTAATGAAACTTTCTCTTCATATAAAACAGCATCTCATCCTGTCAGACTGCGAGAACAGCCCGCAAGGAAAGCATCTTTTCTAACTTTTTCCATGATATAAAAATACTGCAGTTCTATTACGTTCAAATTGAAAAAAGTACTGCCAACCTGTCAAATAACAAGCTAAGCAAGCGGAAGCTAAACCACAAACATGGCGAAGGAGCGGAGCAAACGTGAGTTTTATCACGTGACATCAAATTTGGAACGTCTGTTATAGTTTGTAACTGACGTTCCAAAAATTAGGCGCTTGAGGATGGTCTATGTATTAATTATGATATTTGCTATGAAAACGTTAGTGAATAGAAAATAAATGTCTCACAGCAGCCAAAACTGTTTGATGGTGATTTCAGTAATAATTCTGTTGACTGTAGGTTCGGTTGCGTTGCTTAACTTTCCCGGCAACATTTAAAACCTCGTGTGGCGTCATCTGCTAAGATATTTTATCTAAAAGCTTTTTATATAATTAGTCAATGACTTTTTTTACTTGGTAAGTTGTCCTGATATCTATAAATTCTTTTTTAAATCCATAAACGAGTTGCGTAACTTTCCCGGTAATAACATTTAAAAGTGCTTGTGGTGCCATCTGTTAGGATATTTTATTTAAAAGCTTTTTATATAATTATTGTTGTAACTAAGCCACGAATACGGTTTTCATTCTTGACAATATCTTGCAAAATATTGCCAATTGTGTTCCTCATTTATGGAGTAAGAATCGAACTCGTGACTTTTAGACATAGCTTCGATTCTCATTCGAAATTATTGATGATACTTGTTAATATTATCAATAATAGCATTCCTTTTAATATTAGGAACCGAACTCATTGCTTAGGAGCCGCGAGTTCGGTCCTCGTTCCGGAAATGGATGCCAGTTTGTGCTCAGTAATACCGAACTCAGAACGTTTTAGTCAGTTATAAGAACGGAACTCGTGACTTTTAATCTAATAATAGGCACTAAATAACTTTCTACCAATAATGGGAACCGAACTCATGACTTTACATTATTTGAAATATTATACTATTTCAAGAATAAGAACCGAAATCATTGATGAAAAGGCACGTGTTCGGTTCGCATGAATGTTTATTTTCTAAATTTGAACCGAACCAACGACAAAATCATAAAAAATTTATAGTTATAAATGTAATTATGTATCAGTTATAAAGATAAAAAATAAAATATTTTAATTGGTTTAATGCTTTAATCGCTAAATAATGAATCAATAACATCTTTGTAGTGCGACGTGTCGCGTCATAACCTCATTTTATCAAATTATACGTAATTTTTCTTTTTACGTTCTGATTCTAAACACTGTAAATTAGATTTACGAAGTATTATTTTAATTATTAGATTTAACAAGTTATTTTTTTAGTCTAAAAACATCACAATTAGCTTCATTATCCTTGGTATGACGCTTACTCACCTTGATGATTGATTATATGCGTTAGAAACAAGGGAAAGGGAGAGGAAGATCATGAAGGCAATGTGACAAACAGATATTTTATAAGTAAGACAAGTAAAGACGAACAAAGGTGCATTAATCATTCAGATGAACAACGTGTCATGTACAGGCGTGATATGAGAATACGCCTACTTGATATTTACCGACTTGTCTCGTTCGATAAAGTACCAAATCTGTGATCCCCTCTCCCTTTTCCGCTTGACTTTTACTCGTATTCCCTCACCATATTTCATCAAGGCTTTTTCAGTTTTTGATCAGTAATTAAGCTCAAAGCGTGTGTAACTTCATCAATAACTAAGCTTAGATATTTCTAGTTCGAAATTAACTGTAAACGATTAAGCTCTAATTCTGATTAAATCCATCAGAAAGTAATCTCTTTGCAATTTGCGATCAGTAGCTAAGCTGAAATTACCCATAGAAGGTTTAGTAACTGATTTTAAACTTCCGTGCAATTTGTGAGGATTCACTAAGCTTGAATTTTACATAAAATGATCAGTTATTAAGCTCAAACTAATGGATTATAATCATTAGATGAGTTTCCTGTACAGTGATTAATGACTAAGTTCAAAACATTTTTGTATTTTGTGAACATTAGACAAATCCAAACTGTATACAGTGACCAGTAAGCAAGCTCAAGCTTTTCTACGGTTTGAAAATTGCAGAAATGCCACATCAAATCCAATTACATTCTTTCTAATGATTAATATGGTCACTTTAATAAGGTTAATCTGACTTAAAACATCTATAATTTAATTTATTTTGTATGAAATATAGTTTAAATCATAATATTTTGGAATTATGACATGATGGATGCAATAATAAATCAATTATTTAATTAAAAGATTGCAATATAATCGACACAGACTATAAACAGACAGGAGAAGAGCCAGGAATCTTATCATCTACAATTAATTTAGACGTTGCTTTACACCATCACTTACATGATGCACATGTTATCAGTATGAGATGATGATGATGCGTTAATAGAAAAAAAATTCTTTAAAAATATTCATAAAATATGTTTTTATTTTGATGTATGAAGAATTACTTCATATACACTTACTTAATTAAAGAGATGAAAAAAATGGCATTAAACATAATTAACAAATTACAAAATGAGATTAAATCGCAAACATTATTAACGATCATTTAAATATCTAAAACCTCATTAAACTAAATATTTTAATTGTGATTAATGCGTGTCGATCGATACAAAATTGTAGTCACTCCATGGTAAACATGACATATACAAACAAATAATACGTGCGATAAATTGCTGTAAAATTGAATTTTTATCCAACAAATTTTTATAAATATTGTTATTTATATATAAATACAACTTTAATAATAATTATTATTATAAATTTATATATTTTTTCACTGCTGTTTACAAAATATAACTGAGTGAATCGATAGACTAGACAAGACGAGCTTATANATAGTAGCATACAACAATGCATACATTAAAATTTTAAACAATCTGAATTATTACACATACACACATTGTAAAAAATTTAAATAACATTAATTTTGATACTTTTCAGTAGAATTAATTATTTTTTTATAGCGCCGTTTCACGCTTTAAAGTCATAAAATTCCATACAGTTCATTTGAAAAATAAAAATTGATTATTTCTCTTATTTAAAATTGAAATTTTCAAATTATTTATAACCGAAAAATTGTTAAACAATTTTTTACAATTTATTTACATAAAATTTTAAGATTCAATTATGTTTGTTTACCGATTTTACAGTACATAGAACTGAATTCCGTCTACAGAATAATAATAACAACATCTATTCTTCCATAATACTTACTCAGAAAACGATGAGAATGATGTGATCACATGAAAATATGGGATTATTAGAGGCTGATTATATATTCCTGGTCTTCGTATAGGTGCATGAAAAGGTATGATATAAAATCAAGGTAAGAGAAAGGATGTTGGCACACAGTCAACCTCCTCTCTACCCTCATATGATTCTTCAGGTATATGTTGAGAGCGCATGCTCTTCATCCCTTATTGATTTTCTCTCTGTTGAAATTTACTGTGGATAGATACTAGACTTTACCCTCACGCAATTTATCTGTATCACATGTAGCTTCTGTATATTAAGAATACATTATAAACGTTCACGTAGAAAGTGGTGTATAAAATTATATTTTAGTGCCTTTTTTTTCATTGAAAAAATGTAACAAATCTTACCATTCACCAACACGACAGCTATAAATTAAAATAGAGATTGATTAGTGTGATTTTTTTTAACTGGAATGGTGCATATTTAAGACATTCTTATGCATTCTTCTCCATAGTCATCAATCTATGGATGAAGATGATGGATTTTCTGGATCATGTGCTGAAGATCTTTTAGATTTTCATCCTGGTTCATTGTTCGATTTTGTTTCTTGTCCACCATCTATGGCTTTCTGTCTCATAAGCGGATTTCTTTTAACTGTTGATGATTGCTGAGTGATTATAACCCTCGGTTTTTGAAAAGGTTCGCTGCTTTGCTGTCTGGAATTTTCTGGAGATATCTTTTTATGAGAAAACACGCTATCTTGAGATACTACAGTTTTATCCGATTCAAAGCTTCCTGATTGTGTAGATTTTGATTCAGTGCGTTCTGTTCGCTCAGAGGATGATGTCTTCCTGTGTTTTCTCGTTCCTTTCTTTCCTTTGGTTTTGTCTTTCACGTGTAAAGTCACAGCTCCTTGAGGAAGATAAAGATCCATTGCCATAGAACTGTTAGAATCACTCCTCTGTACTATCAAGTGTGTTTTTTGCTCAGTCGTTTCCGATTCGAGAGATTCGTCCTGAGCAGCCTGTCTCTGAAGTTGTCTTTTTGGACAATCCATTGATGCTGCTTGACGATAGATGTTAGCAGCTAGAAGAAGGGATTTTGGCTTAGGTTTACCCATTTCTGTCGGTAGTTGCAAAGTTTCTTTTTTCTGTTCTGAATCCTCTTTTTCAGTTGGTAATTCGTGAATCTTAGAAACAAACGGCTCTGAAGGGCATTTTTTCATATTGCATATGTTTCTACCATCTTCAACAATAACAATTTTTGCCGAATCCATACTAGATTGCAATTTTTTACTGAAATTTTTAAGCTCTCTTGTAACTACTGATCTACTTCTTTGACTACCTTCGCCTCTCCAGCAAGAATTTGCAAGAAATCTCTCCCAAGATGTATCACTTGAATGTCTTGTTGGTGAAGATCCCATTGCTTGCACAGCGTGTATACGGCTCTTACGAAAGAATGATGGAACGATTTTTGTAGCAGTGTCTCTAGCTTCGAAAGTCATCACACATGTTGCTAAAATGATAAATCCACCAACCCCCATAACTACAGGACCAAAATAAGTTAAGCTAGACAAGTGCATATCTTTAAGTCCATCCTTGTGATAAACAGTGATATTACCTTGTTTCTTTTCAACTTTAGATAACTGGTCTGAGTAAAATCCTACGGTAGCCATTCCAGTTCCTATTAGGATTAAGAAAAATCCAGCACTCATTGCTTTACAAGCTGCCCATAGGCATTTATCTGTAATCTTCCCTCTTACAGAACTTATACCCCATATTGATTTTGTATTTGATACATCTTTCTTTTTTGTCGATTGTTTGGGTTCATCCATCTCCTAAAAGAAACCTGAAAGAAGGAAAAATCATTAAATACAACTCATACATGCAAAAATCTTAGAGAAAAAAACGCACTTAATTATAATATAACATTTTTACCGTTAAAAATATCAATTTATTTTTATTAAATTGCAAAATTTGAAATTTACAATTGTTTAATTTTACAAAAATTTGACTTTTTTTAACGGTTCACATAACTGAAATGTATTTAAATTTTGCAAAAATTCAATTTTATAACTATAAATTTAGATGAGATTCATGGCCATTCTTCGAAAACTTTGAAATTTTTCAATAATTTTTCGTGATATTTCATCATTTCTTATAAAATATGAAAATTATACTTGTTTATTTACTCATCACGAAACTTAATTGCAGGTATACATCATAAAATATTTTAAAATTATTCATAAATGGTGAAATTCTCTTTACTTATAACAATATATGAAATATTTAATTGTTATTTAAGCAAGAAATACGATATTATTTATAAATGCCATAAAATTTTAATTTAATATAACGAAATACGTAAAATTTATCACCATAAACATAGACAAAATTTTCATTACTAATTAATTAAAAGCTATTATAAATTTTTAAACAATAAAGTTAATAAAAATTGATTATTTCTCTTATTTAAAATTGAAATTTTCAAATTATTTATAACCGAAAAATTGTTAAACAATTTTTTACAATTTATTTACATAAAATTTTAAGATTCAATTATGTTTGTTTACCGATTTTACAGTACATAGAACTGAATTCCGTCTACAGAATAATAATAACAACATCTATTCTTCCATAATACTTACTCAGAAAACGATGAGAATGATGTGATCACATGAAAATATGGGATTATTAGAGGCTGATTATATATTCCTGGTCTTCGTATAGGTGCATGAAAAGGTATGATATAAAATCAAGGTAAGAGAAAGGATGTTGGCACACAGTCAACCTCCTCTCTACCCTCATATGATTCTTCAGGTATATGTTGAGAGCGCATGCTCTTCATCCCTTATTGATTTTCTCTCTGTTGAAATTTACTGTGGATAGATACTAGACTTTACCCTCACGCAATTTATCTGTATCACATGTAGCTTCTGTATATTAAGAATACAGTATGTATATTATTACTATTTATATTGGTTTTCTGCCTTACTTACCTGAGTTAACTTATATTTAAAATTAAAAAAAAATCCATAAAATTTTTAAAAATCTGTTATTGATCTTTGACTTTTTAGATTAAAAAAATTAATTTTTTAAATACTAATTTTATCGTAATGTATGTAAGAATTTTATTTTTAACGGAATTTTTTTAAATGTTTGTATTTTTTTTCTGTTTAAAAGGAAAATGTCTTTTATTTTTTTAAAAAAATGGTTTTATTAAAAGTGTATTTTTTGTTTTTTTAATATTTAGTTTCGTTAATAATTGTTTTTAACATATGTTTAACAATTACTACAAGAATACCGATTATTTCATAGAAGTTTGCATAGAATTGTTAATTCAGTTATTAAAATATATTCAGCACATAGTTATGTTTTATAATATGCTATGTGCAGTGTCCATGTATATACTATAATTTATTTTTAAAATACAGAATTATCTAAGATATATACAATAATTATGAAGAGTAATCGATAATATCTTTAACATAGATGCTACTCAAACTATGAGCAAGGCTTCAAAGGCATGCTCATATGAGTAAATCATTGAAATATGCCTTTTGTAAGCAATAATTTTGAATAAATTAAGCATTAACAGAGAGGAATTATCCATGTTATACGCAATATTTATGTGCACATTATAGTTAACCTTTATATAGTTTTTTTTCATAATTATTTACATAGAAGAGTATAAAATAATTGCATATTTTGCATTCATATTTAATAACCGTAATTTTCTAAATAATAATTATGAAGCAAACCAGCCTTGCTTTAAGCAAGCTATGAATGAAATTTTGTAATCTAAACAACTATGAATAGAATTAAAATTTATATGATTTATGTTGAAAATGCTAAAGTACGAGATGAATTATGTATGTGGCAAAGTAATTAATCGATCACTTTAAGCAATAATCAACAGCCAGCAATAACAAGGTATGCAATAGAGAAGCTGTGGCTAATATGCAACTGGTAGGTTAAAGAATTACGTGTTCTATAGAAATAGGTTTGCCATAAGTAAGTTTTAAATAAACAACTAGGTGTGCCGTAGATAGGCTATAAATTAAAGAACTGGGTTTGCCATAGGTTTACTGTAAGTAAAAAATTACGTGTTCCATAGCTTATACGTTAAAAAACTAAGCTTGCCATAGGTAGGCTTTAAGTAAAGAACTAGGTAGACTATAGATAAAGAATTAACCATACTCCTGATAAGCTTTAGATAAACAATTACGTCATAGAGAAAGTTAAACAATAATAAATCAAAGAGAAGAGGAATCTTGGGCATGTTACAGTGACTAAGAAAGGAATTTATTAGACTCATAGCCTTTAAACAATGACTAAAAGCAATTGACTAGAGTATGCAACAATTAAAATAATCAAATCAAGCAATGCTCTAAGCAATAACTCTAATTAAATTTGCTCAAAGCAATAACTTCAGCTTATAAAAGCTTAGAAAGAGCAAGAATTTAATACCTGATGTAATTATATTAATATAATTTATTTATACTTTCTTCAAAAAATTAATAAAAAAAAATTAAACTGAATGAAATGAATAATAAATTAAATTAAATTAAATAAATTTTGCATGATTAATTAATTAATTATATTTAACAATATTGTCGATGCTTTAAATTATATTTAAAGCAATAAATGAAACTTTTTTCTTTGTAAATCTTAGGAAAATAAGTAAATAAAACAATTTTTATAATTTATTTTATTTTACATTTTTGAGGAGAAGATAAAATAACAAAATTTCGATATCGACTCCATCATTAACCGTAATAACATCATTATTTGTGTAATGGAAAAAAAAAGAAAATTGTGATCATTAAGAGAGAGGATGCGGATAGAAGATGCTACGATTTGTATTATAGAAATGGATAATTTTATGCTCTTATTTAAATTAATTTATTATTTTTTTAGTGATTATTAAAGAAAGACATTTCTTTGTGAAAAAATGATCTATCTGTCTGTATGTCTGTTTATAGTTAAATGTTTTTTTCCCCCTAATAAACTATGAGGTAGAAATTTGTAATTTTTATCTCTGCTTTGTATATCTATCTATCTTTCTATCTATTTACTTTCTGAAAAATGAGTTATAATTAAGATTTTGCACTCATTTTTCTCACATATCAACTTTTCTGTAGAATTTCTCAAAAACTACAAGAGATACATATTTGAAAATTTTTAGATGTTATAGAGAACTTTGTTTTCTTTTATTCTTTGTTATACGTACAGTGACCATATTTTTTGGGGGGAAATAAAAGACATATCGAAGAAAATCAAAAAATACCTTATAAAATTCATAAGTTTATAACATTTATTACGAAAATAGTATACCATACAACAATGCATACATTAAAATTTTAAACAATCTGAATTATTACACATACACACATTGTAAAAAATTTAAATAACATTAATTTTGATACTTTTCAGTAGAATTAATTATTTTTTTATAGCGCCGTTTCACGCTTTAAAGTCATAAAATTCCATACAGTTCATTTGAAAGTTGTATTTGATGGAAATACATGCTTCTAATGTGCTTACTTTTAAATTAGTTTTTTCATTCGTCCACCTATTATTCACCAATGAAAATATTCGTTCAACGGGGGCATTAGATCCAGGGAGACAAAGAAAATTCTACGATTTTACAAATGTTTTTGAAAACAATTTCTTTTGCTGTAAAATGTTCAAAAATCTCAATCCACCTTTGATGGCAGGGCTGGTTATTCTGTCACCATTCGTCGATCTTTTCGTTTGTGACATATTTTTTTACACATGAAACTTCATCAAATAATTCACCGTCGAGTATATTTACGGACCAATGATTCGAAATAAAGATATAGCTTTCCTCTACTTTCGCCCACAAAGGGATTTCGCATAATGTGATCCATTCAAACACCTCTATTTCAATAAAAAAAACATGTCCCAATTATTTAGATAATCTATGCACGTTTGATAAAATGTGTACACAGCATCATTGCATTTTTTGGCTTGTATATTTTCTGATTTTTCTAATGCTAAAATCACTTTTCTAATAACAATAGGAAGAAACCCCTGGTACTTCAGTGGGCCGTTTGGTTGGCGACATACTGCACTACTGCGCTCTATGTAGCAATGCAACACTGGTCGTGATGGCGTATACAAAACTAACTTGTTCAATATATTATTAAAAAAAAATTTTTTTTAAACTTTGCATTGGACAGAACAGTGAAATAAAGGACTGTCCTCTTAAATAAAGGACTGTAGTTATATGTTCTCATTTCTTCTAGTTGTGCTAATACAGAATACTTAAATGCAAATCTTCAAGTATCTCAAAAAGTAAAGGAGTGATAAATTTTTCTTTAAGTATTTCTTTGGTAAGCGAGTCTGTCTATCCAAAAATTGTTTACTTAATCATTTAAATATTATATAAAAAGAATAAAAGTGCCAAATTTATGATAATGTGTTAATACGGCAAAAAATAAACCGAGCTTTCATTTATAAAAAGCAAAGATGGTCATCGTTTAAAAGAAGAATTTTTAAAATAAATATTTTAATAAATTTTAAGGTATTTTTTAATTATATTTTTTCCATAAATTATTCATGAAAGTTTTCAAATTATCCAGTTTAACTTTCGATTAACAACATTGAAAAAAAAACACTTCGAAATTATACAAATAAAAATATTATTTAATATTATCCGGATATTCAGACTTTTTAAATGAAAAATTTTTCCTTTTTTTTCTTGATAAATTTCGAAAGTAAATAAAGGAAAAGGAAATTGAAACTTCTCCAAAGAATCTTCCTCTCCATCTTCTCTTAACTCATCACTCCTGTGTTGATCCTATTGAATAGAGAGTCACTAATCTGAACTAATTGAGGATTTAAAGGGTTATATATCCAATATTAATGGAAAATATTTTCTCAGACACATACAAGATATTATATAACGTGTAATTTTATAAATTATGTTATAAAATATCGTTAATTTTTGCGTTATTTTATGCACATGACCCTCATAAAGGTGGAGTTAAAAGTAATATTTTAATTTTTGTATATTATTTCATATAAAAAATACATATTTTTATAGTTTCTTAATAAGGAAACGAAAATTATTAAGGTTATTATATACAATCGCGTCGCGTCGCGTCGCATCCGCGCTCTATTTATCTTTATTTGATTTTATTTTATTAAATTTTTAAGTTTTAAAAATATTTATAATAAGTATATTAAAAATAATTTTTAAGAATGATTTTAAGTTAAAAAACGAACGGAAAAGATGCAAAGCGACGCGCAAACGCGATTCCAAGCGACGCAACACTGTAATTCATAAGGTAATAATAGTATAATTTTAAATAGAAGCCTATAGTAAGTAATGCATAAAATTAATAGAGGAAACTATAACATAAGTGCTTGAATGACACCTTAGATAAATTACTAATTTATATATAAGTTAAGATATGAAAATATTTGAATATATATTTTAAAAATAAATTATTTAAGGATTCATTTTAGTTAGAAAATTACGCTAAATACATCACTCTCCGTCAATTTGAAATGAGAGCATTTTATTAAATTATTCTCTCGACGATCCTCTATAAATATTGAATAAACTTTCGAATGCTTTTAAAAAGCGTAATAACAATTTTAAGATATAATATTTTAATAAACAATTTTGATAAAGTTTTCATAAGTTGTGACATATTAAATTAAGAAGAGAAAGAAGAGCAACAGAAGGAGGCAGAAGAGGGTGGAAAAGGATGAGGAGAAGGATGATAAAGAAAGAAAAAGAGAAAGAAGAAAATGAA